GGGGGGGCAGGCCGGGCATCCCGCCAGAGAGCGGCCAAGCAGCGGAGGAGGAGGAGGGCGGCTCGGTGTCTCTGCCTCGGCCTTAGCGGGGAGGAAGGCGAAGAGGAGCCCGAGAGGAGCCCGGCCTTGGAGCCCGGCAGAGACAGAGAGAGACCCCCAGCTCATTCTGCAAAGGACTGAAGGCTTTGCCCTGACACTGTGAAGGTAAACACGGCTTTGGGGGGCATTGCAGGCCGGAAGAAGAGGGCATTGCATTGCCAGTATGAGAGCCTGGCGTGGTCCTCGAGGGAAGAAGAAGAAGATGAAGAGGCATCCTCCTTGCCTTCTGTCCACGCCCCTCCCTCCCCTGCATTGCATTGAGGGGGAGAGAAAACATTTAAATGGGGGGGGGGGGAGGAAGGGCTGTATATTTTGCCCAGGAGCCCCCGTTTTGCTTCCTGCCCTCCTTCCTGGGTCTCTTGGGTTCACCTCTGCAGCAAAGGGGGGGGGGGCAAGGAGGCTTTTCTGAGCTGCGAGGGCTGCCTCTCCATCTCCTCCTTGAAAGATGGGCATGATTTGGCTCTTTTCCCCCCCCCCCCCCCCGCAAGGTCAAGCCTGAAGTCTCCAGGGTGGAGCCTTCAAGGCTTTGGCTGTGCTGGCCCTTTAACTCTGGAAGCAGAGAAGGAGCCCCAAGAGGCCATCTAGTCCAACCCTATTTGGCCATCCAGGAACACAATCTAAGCCCTCCTGACGGAGGGCCATCCAGCCTCTGCCTGTAAACCTTCTGAGAACTCCATCATAAATACTGTCGAATGTTATTATTATAATAAAATAATTATAATTTAAAAATCATTTCCTGCTTAATAGTTGGAACACAATCTAAGCCCTCCTGACAAATGGCCATCCAGCCTCCCGAGAAGGACACTCCATCATCATAAATACTGCCGAATGTTGTTATTATTATTATTAATAATAATATAAAATAATAATTTCAAAATCATTATCTGCTTAATTATTATAGTTGGGACACAATCTAAGCCCTCCTGACCGATGGCCATCCAGCCTCTAATTAAAAGCCTCCTGAGAAGGACACTCCATCATCATAAATACTGCTGGATATTATTATTATTAATAATAATAATATAATTTGAAAATCATTACCTGCTTAATTATTATGGTTGGAACACAATTTAAGCCCTCCTGACAGATGGCCATCCAGCCTCTGCTTAAAAACCTCCTGAGAAGGACACCCCATCATCATAAATACTGTCAAACGTTAATAATAATAAGATAATTATAATTTAAAAATCATTACCTGCTTAATTATTATGGTTGGAACACAATCTAAGCCCTCCTGACAAATGGCCATCCAGCCTCTGATTAAAAGCCTCCTGAGAAGGACACTCCATCATCACAAATACTGTTGAATGTTGTTGTTATTAATAATAAGATAAAATATTGATAATTTAAAAATAATTACCTGCTTAGTTATTGCAGTTGGAACACAATCTAAGCCCTCCTGACAGACGGCCATCCTGCCTCTGATTAAAAGCCTCCTGAGAAGGACACCCCATCATCATAAATACTGTCAAGTGTTATTATTATTATTATTAATAATAATATAATAATTTAAAAATCATTACCTGCTTAATTATTACGGTTGGAACACAATCTAAGCCCTCCTGACAGATGGTCATCCAGCCTCTACTTACAAGCCTCCCGAGAACAAAACTCTTGTCATCATAATTACTGTCAAATGTTATTATTAATATAATAATGATTTAACAATCATTGCCTGCTTATTTATTATGGTTGGAACATAATCTAAGCCCCCCTCATAGGTTGCCATCTACCTTCTGCTTATAAGCCTCCCGAGAAGGAAACACTGTCATCATAATTAGTGTCAATGTTTATTGTTATTAATATAATAATGTTAGAAATTATTACCTGCTTAATTATTACACTTGGAATACAGTCTGAGCCCTCCTGATGGATGGCCATCTACCTTCTGCTTAAAAGCCTCCCGAGAAAGAAACTCCATCATCATAATTACTGTCAAATGTTATTATTATTAATTAATAATTAATATAATAAGTTAAAATTATTACCTGCTTTTCTTTGAGGTTTGAGGTGGGGTACAACAGGGTTAAATACAGAATGATAAAACCTGACACTCTTAAAGGACATGTCACACAACACTAGACTGATGAAATGTAGTTGTAATAATAATTACGATAAAATCCTAGAGTGGGAAGGGACCCCAAGAGGCCATCCAAACCAGAGAGGAAGACATAAGCCAAGCTCTCCTGATATATGATCATCCAACCGCTGCTTAAAATTCTCCAAAGAAGGGGACTCCACCATCACTGTTGTTATCAAAGGTTATTATTATGTTGTACTAGCCGTCACCTGCCAGGCGTTACTGTGACCCAGTCTGGTGATCTGGAAAATAAAGTAATGAGAAAGTGTTGGTTTCTAATATATGTAATGTCTTTATGCTTGTGGGTAAACAGTATTTCTTGCTGTTTCTTTGTCAATGTTGATGTGGAGATTGTCTGGTTTGCCTACTCTGGAACATGCAACATATCAATTGTCCTTCTTTAGGGGTCCCTTTCAAATCTATGATACATCTGTCATATACATTTGTGTGTGTTCTATGGCTGGAGGCTCTTTGTCAGGAGGGCTTTATTATGTTTTCTTGCCCTGGTGAGGGAGGTGGACTGGATGGCCTTAGGCAGCATTTCTCAACCTGGAATCAAGACCCCTGGGGGGGGGGGGGTCACCAGGGGGGTGTCAGAAGGGTCACCAAAGACCATCAGAAAACACAGTATTTTCTGTTGGTCATGGGGTTCTGTGTGGGATGTTTGGCCCAATTCCATCATGGTGGGGTTCGGAATGCTCCTTGATTGTTGGTGAACTATAAATCCCAGTAACTACAACTCCAAATGTCAAGGTCTATTTCCCCCAAACTCCATCTGTGTTTATATTTGGGCATATTGAGTATTTGTGCCAAGTTTGGTCCAGATCCATCATTGTTTGAGTCCACAGTGCTCTCTAGATGTAGGTGAACTACAACTCCAAAACTCAAGGTCAATGCCCACCAAACCCTTCTAGTGTTTTCTGTTGGTCAGGGGAGTCCTGTGTGCCAAGTTTGGTGGAGTTCAGAATGCTCTTTGATTATAGGTGAACTATAAATCCCAGCAATTACAACTCCCAAATGACAAAATCATAATTTTTTGAGTGATGGTCACTTCTTGTGTTGTGAGACATTTTGTTGCCAAATTTGGTGTGATTTTGTTCATTGGTTCTTTTGTTTTTAAGGTACTCATTACGCACAGAGCATATATATATATATAGACTAGAGTGGGAAGGGACCCCAAGGGCCATCCAAACCAATCTCCTTCTGCCAGGGAGGAAGACACAATCATAGCTCTCCCAGCAGATGGCCATCTAGCCTCTGCTTAAAATTCTCCCAAGAAGGAGACTCCATCATTACTGTTGTTATCAAACGTTGCTGTTATAGACATCCTAGAGTTGGAAGGGACCCCAAAGGCCATCCAAACCAGGAAGGAAGACACGACCCACGCCCTCCTGACAGATGGCCAGCCAGTCTCAGCTTAAAAACCACTTTGAGGCAGCATATCCCATTGTTGTACATCTCTTACACAAATAATAATTATAATAATTATTATTTATTACCCCGCCACCATCTCCCCAATGGGGACTTGGAGCGGCTTACACGAGGCCAAGCCTAAACAACAATTACAATAAAGAAAAACCAAAAACACAAACCGAAAACGCAAACAATAAACAATAACATAAAACAAATGAATACATAACAATATACAAATTACAATATGCACAGGCACAGTAACAATGGGCGGGCTACATGTAGTGATTAAAAGACAAAGTAATTAAATCCAACTCTCTTCATTGGGACCTTTTCCCCATTTTGATTACCCTTCCCTGGACATTTTCCTGCTTTTCCATATCTTGTTTCTGAATTGTTTGGCCTAGGACTGAACTCTGTATTCCAGGTGAGGTCTGACCAAAGCAGAACAGAATGGGACTCTTCCTTTCCCAGATCTAGACACTACACTCCTGGTGATGGAGCCTAGCATCACGTTGGCCTTTTTGGCTGCTGCATTACAGTGTTGACTCACGTTCAGCTGGTGGTCTACTAAGGCTCCATGATCTCCTTCACATTGATGGTTCAGTTTGCTTAACTTCCCCACAAATTATCACAAATGCCACCTTTCCCAGAAGAGATTCCTAGAAGGTGCTTCCCTTAAACTCCTTCCAGGGGACCCCTTTTCTGTCCTTTGCCATAATGTCTCTTGTGGGACCGTCAACCCAGGTGTGACAGCAATATACATACCGTATATACTCGAGTATAAGCCAACCCGAATATAAGCCGAGGCACCTAATTTTACCACAAAAAACTGGGAAAATGTATTGAGCCGAGGGTGGGAAATGCAGCAGTTACTGGTAAATTTCAAAATAAAAATAAGTACCAAAAATTTATATTACATCAATAGGTTAAATGTTTTTGAATATTTACATAAAACTGTAATTCAAGATAAGACTGTCCAACTCTGATCAAACCATTATTCTAACCTTCTTCAATGTAAATATGCTTATATGTCTTCCAATAATAATCAATAGAGTAAAATAATAAATGTAATAATAATACAGTAAAATAATAAATGTAACAATTATAGAGTAAAATAATAAATGTAATAATAAACAACAATAAAATAATAAATGTAATAATAACAACAACAAAGTAAAATAATAAATAATATTGACTCGAGTATAAACCAGAGGAGACTTTTTCAGCCTAAAAAAAGGACTGAAAAACTAGGCTTATACTCGAGTATATACAATACTTAACTTAGATGCTAAAGTAAGACTAGTCCACATCCCTCTAACTCATCCGCTCCCTGTAAGAAATTTTAAATAGTCAACACTTCTATGTTTAATAACACAACCCCACAAGTAAGGAAACTACTTAGGAACCCTTATGCTTTATACCTAAGCAGGTCTAAGGCAATAGTATCACAATTTTTAATGTAGTGCAGAAAGGTATAGTCTTGTTCACATTAGCTGTCAGAACCAGTTGGGAACACGCACACATATGCATACATACACCATATATACTCGTGTATAAGCCGACCCGAATAGAAGACAAGGCACTAATTTTACTACAAAAAACTGGGAAAACG